ATTTATAGCTAGAAAACAAGCGTTAGAATAAATCTAAACCGAAGTATAGAGCAACCAATTTTTTCTCTTTTTTTTCTGTAAAATTGGCTTGATCTCATAAACTATTGTTAAAATAGTCGGAAAACTGATATTTTTGCCCCCTTTCTTAGTTTTTTGCACTTTCAGAACGCTAGGATCTCCGCGAGGTGATCGCCATGCAACTATATGTGCTCGGCCTGCGTATGCTCCATTCGCCCAGAAAGTCTATCATCCAGAGCCGCTAATAAGACAAATCCCAAGGCTAGACTCGAATGGCTACGATCTGCTCTTGAAGTTCTTACAGGTCTTTACTGAGAAATCGATTTTTTATTATGAAAGACTTTGAAGTGATCAAAAAAATCAAATTTGCAATTTCAGTACGAAGGCCGAGACCGAATATCAGCTCAAGACGCTATGCGGCATAACTTTTTAAGGACGTTGCCTCCGAAGGTGGGATTTACTTCATTTGATTTTTATGTTCTGGTTTTTTTTAGCTACATATTTACTCATGCAGTAAGAAGTAGAAGAATGTATTTAGATTTTTTTTACAAATAGTATAACTGCAAGACACGCAATTGCAAGCGATGAGTGTAATTGGTAATTGATTGTGAAATACGCGTGGTTGGCGCTTTGCAGACGATTATGTCGTATTTCTAGAATCGGTGTGTGCTACGCACTTGCACAGCATGTACAATAAACTTTCGCTACCTTAAATATAGCTTTTGAAATAAGATATTCTAAATATAAATAACCTGTTCTTCGGTTTTAAGAAGCGGGTATATGATGGTGTTCTAAGATCTTATCTTTGAATATATCTATTTTAAAAATTAAAGTCGCAGAGGTACACTTTTGAATCAAAGTTTAGAATTACAAAACTTGTAGTCCCAAAGTCTTACGAATTTTTTGGGTTTTTTCGCAGATTTCAAAAGACCGAACTTAACATTGGCAACTTTCCATTGTAAAAAAAAGAACGTAGGACTAAATGCTTATGATGTAGACCAACGAGCAAATAAACCATAGAGTTCCTCAT